CCCGCGCCCCCCCGCCCTGCCGTCAGCCAGCCAGGAGGTGGCAGAGGAGCCAACAGCCAACGCCGTTCTTCAGACGAGGTGAAGCCAAAGCAGAAATCGCCCCGTTCAGAAGCATCTTCTCCAGCGCCTTGCCCTGCCCGCCAGCAAGACAGCTGTGGCGTCTCTTGGATCCCCTTCAGCTCGCGCCGGGCTCATCTGGGGAATCGGCAGACTAGCAGGTGTGGACACCGTCGCAGGCGGCAAAAGACGGGCACGGTTCTGTTGTCCGACATCGCACGCGCGGGAGCACGCGTGACCCAACTGCTGCGCCCAGGGCTTTTTGTAGAGAACATGTGACCGGGCAAAAATTGTTCTCAAAAGAAACTATCCTACCTCGTCTGTTGTACTTGTGGGGAACTCTGTAGGGCCATTGGCGTGGGGTTTCCTGTCTGTAGCGACGCGATTTGATTGAATTCTCGGTTGCGGAGCCCAGCCTCTCTCTTCAGAGAGAAAAATCTTGAAAATCGTTTGTGCCCGGGTGATTAAAAGAAACTTGCTGAATTAGGCAAACCTCAGCTGTGGTCAGCAAAGGTCAAGCTGTGAAACTGTCGTTAAAAACGTGTCCTAAACATTGAAGCATCGCTCCGGTCCCTTCTGTTAACATTGCGCCTGAGAAATTTGATGTTTCCTCAGAGCTGAGTAGTGTGGGGCTTAGTCTCATCAGATTAAAGCAACCCACGGCTCTCGCCTGGACTTGGAAGGCGCTGTCTGATGTGAGACGCTTTTAAATGCAGTTGAAACCTGGACCTCCCCCTCTCGCCTGGGGGAAGAAGCCTTGATGGCAGATCCCGATTTGATACTCCCGAATGCCGCTGCAAGCTGGGCTGGCGGCAGACTGGATCATTCTTTAATTGGCGCGATTCTGCTGCGCTGATGCCACTTTGCGTTATCCCAGCGCTTTGCGAGCTTTAACGCGTTTCTCCGTGCGCTGCCGGTGCGACAGGGAAACCGTTACCCCACCTGGACCGTGTGTCAGTTGCCGGAGTTTTGCCCGCGGCTGTGCGAGACGTTAAATCTGGCTCTGTGGAGCGCAGGCTGCCTTCTGGGGGCAAGAAATACTTAAAATTATGGAAACGAGTATTGACGTTAACCCAGACTGAAAAATAAAACACCCCCCAAGCCTGCGTGTGTCGGTACCGCGCCACCGTGAATCGGGGACGGCTGACAGGTTTGGAAAGTTTTGTGAAGGAAAACCGGCGCGATTTCGGCGATCACAAAGCGGAGCTGCGGGGGGTAGAGCTCTGTGCCGCCGGCGGGTCCCGAGGGCCGGCGTGGGTGACGGTGTCTGACCCGCGGGAGCACGCATCACGTACTGCACAGAATTGTCACCGGATTCGGCAACTGGCCTGTGCCCACCGAGGAGAGGGGCTGGGACACAAAGTACGGAATTCCAAGAATAATTCTTGCAGTTACTGTAATTGTAGAATTATTTTATTATGGATTATTCTTGTAATTCTAGAGTGATTGTCATCTCATGCTCCTACTTCTAGAACGACTGTTCTAGAATTCTAGAATTACGATGTATTACTCTTGTAGAATTCATCGAACCAGGACTGGTTTGGGTGGGAAGGGACCTCAAAGCCCATCTAGGTCCAACCCCCCAGCCCTGGGCAGGGACATCCCCCGCTAGCCCTGGTTGCGAATTATTTTATTACGTATTATTCTAGCAATTCTAGAATTATTTTCTTATCTATTATCCTTGCAAATCTAGATAAAATTCATTCTTGCAATTCTAGAATTAATTTCTCTTAGTCTGGCAATCCTAGCCTGAACTTCTTACTCTTGCAATCCTAGAATGATTTTGATCTTTTAAATCTAGACTTATTTTCTCCTATTCTTGCAGTCCTAGAATTATTTTCTTGCTATTCTTGCAATTCTGGAATGATTTTACGTACTACTCTTGCAAATCTAGAATTATTGTGTCTTCTATTCTTGCGAATCTAGGATAATTTTCTCTTACTCTTGCAATCCTAGAATTATTTCCTTATTCTTGCAATTCTAGAATGATTTTTATGTTCTACTTTTGCAAACCTAGAACCATTTTATGTTCTCTTCTTGCAAATCTAGGATCATTTTCTTATTCTTGCGATTCTAGAACGATTTCACATCCTGCTTTTGCAAACCTAGAACTATTTTATCGTATATGATTCTTGCAAATCTAGGATGATTTTCTCCTCGCAATCCTAGAATTATTTCCTTATTCTTGCAATTCTAGAATGATTTTGCGTACAAATCTAGAACCGTTTTATTGTCTACTCTTGCAAATCTAGCCTAATTTTC